CTGGCTAGTGGTCTAAATCCCACTTTGTTCGCCAGTGACCTTCAGTGTTTACTATCCTGCTGTTTGTGGCCAGGTGGCCAGAGTCTTGTTGTCAACTGCTTCTGCCGCCTGCAGCCTGCAGAAAAGCCCTAACTTGAGGAGACCCACAGTGGGAATTGCGTTTCTTTTTCTGGCACACCCTTTTTGTCGTTAGGAGAAATGGCTGCTGCAAAATGGCCAACACTAATGCTAGTGGGTGAATCATCTGGGGACTTCAATCTCTGAGCGATTTGCTAGGACTACTTTTAACTAAAGTGGAACATCATTTTTCTTTCACTGGTGTCATTTAAAAAGAAAGCATTAATAAGCACCTTGGTTCTATGTCATGAAAATGAGCTCTAGCTGTGCCAGTCAATCCAACGTCAGAACTCAGCCCTACATATATCAGTCCTATCAGCCCAGGCTTGCCTTGGTCTCACACAAGACCTATTTGAGGGCCTGAATCAAGACTGAATGACTGAATTCATTGAGCCTATCCCAGAAGTCGCCTGGGTGTTAATGCCTCAGTATACTCAGAGATGGAAAACAAATGTTTTGTGTACCGGGGTTCTCTTTCCCCACCTCCTGCACTCTACCTCTGCCACTGTAAGTCTTATTTGCAGTTTGGAGACTATGACCCTATATATATATATATATATAAAGATTTATTTATTTTTTTGTTATTTATTCATACAGAACTGGGGTACAGGCCAGAGATGTGGAGGGTAAGAGGAGCCACCAGAGACAGAGTGGGGAGCAGAACAGGCAGATCGACGAAGTACACTGCTGAGGGGAGCAGCGGGCGGGTCAGGAGGTCTGCCACACCATGTGGATCTCCTCCAGGGCAGGCGGGGATTGAACTCATACGAAAGTGGCTTAAGCGTCTTAGTGCTGTGCTTTAACCTGCTGTGTCACCATGGAGGGCCCATGACCCTATATTTTAAAAAAAGTTGGCGTCTTGGGATAAAAGCCTCAGACTAGTAGTACCAATACTTCCTCTCTAGAGTGATAACTGATTTAATTAAATGTAAATATATTCATGATCCCATCTCCACTGACTCACTTCTCCTGGGTGAGCCTTCCAGGACATTTCTATGAGTATACATGCACAGCTGCTCTTCTAGAGTTCAGCATTCTGTTACTGTTTATGCATTGACATTTGCATTTTGTAATTATTAATTTGTTTATGTATTTATCATGTGTCTCCCCATTAGGCAGTTGGTTCCATCAAGTAAGGATTTTGCTTTGTTCTTTTGCATCCGGCATCTAGCACAGTGCCCGCTACATAATGGGTACTCAATAAACGTTTGTGGGATATATGAATGAATGAACACACTTGTTAGGAATATATTTATCTATTCTTGTGTGGGTGGAGAAAGGGGACTTGAAAGAAGAAAAGAGTAGGTAGCAGAGAGTCATTTTATAATTAATCAAGTTATGCGTTGGAACTTAAAGCAAAAGACACAATATGAATGCAAAATTTTCAAAGCTCTTTAGTGAGACAGAGCAAAATCAGGACAGTTTTGGTGGGTCTGCACTGGCTTTACAGTTCACTAACTATGAGTTAACTCCCTCATTATATCCCTTATATTTCAGAGCAGAAAACAGAGTTCTGTCTCAGCTCTCATAATTTCTCACTTGGGCTATGTTGGAGCAGTCTCACTGGCTTCCCTGATCCAAGAGTGGCCAGCTCCTTCTCAGACTCCTCCTTCCTGGAGTGGCCAGGGAAATCTTTCCAAAATGCAAATCTGATCTTGCCACACCCCAGTTTAAAAGCTTTCAAATGCATCTGATTGCCTTTGGGATAAAATCCAGACTTCTTAGTGTGGCTTACAAGGTATTTCTTGATCTACTGTTCTTTGTTGCTCTAGCTGCATGTCTTACATCTGTCCAAGAGGATCTCAGAAGTAAACCTCCCCCACTTCTGTTCACTGAGTGTGTGTGGTGTGAATAAATGACTTAGTCACTGACTTGGAGCACGTTAGCTGGCCTTTGGTGACAGACCTTTAAATTGTGTAGCAACTGAGGGTCATTTGCAAAGGAGAGAAGTTGGTCTGTTGAGATCAACTGGTTAGTTGGTAGTAAGGTCTTTGTTTTACTCAATGCAAAATTGAAAGCAAAGCCAAATAAAAGAATACAAAAGCCACTGGGGTTGGAGGGCAGGGAGAAAAAAGAGAGAGAAATGTTTAGCTGGGTTGCTGCTGATGTGACCTGGGATCTGTTTTTCCTTTGATAACCCATTTATCTCTTATGGGCCTGACTTAAAATTTTCACAATGTATGCTTTCAGTTTGTTGTATCAGCTAGCTCTGATAAGCCACACAGTAGTACCAAATAACCTCAGTCGCTTCGCATTGTACAAAAGGGATGGGCGACTCCTTGAGCAAGTTGCATTTCCATCATAAGTTGGTCATGACCACAGGGCTAATGGAGAACAACCCCATTTTCTTTCTGGGATATTTCTTCTGGGCTCATGGCAGAGGAAAAAGAGAAAAGATGATGAGTATGTCTTTGTTTTTTTAAACTTAGGAGTGAAAACAAGGTACCACAGGCCCCACCTGGCCACTGCAGGGGATTAGCCTCCCTTGCTCCTTCCCCTTGCAGAGGCTGCCAGCATCACTCTGCTCCTGGCCATATCACTTGTCTCTATTTGCACATTGTTCTACCGTAGTAAAAATCTTCCTCTAATTCTCTCTTGTAAAAACATTTATGACAACATTGAGGGCCTATCTGAATAGTCTCTGTCTCAAGACCTTTTAATTTAATCACATTTGCAAAGCCTTCAATGTGAGAAAAATAAGAGTTCAAAAGATCAGGGGATGGAGGAAGGTTGATTTTTGCCTCTACCATTGGATCATATGGGTTGGTCACTAATCGTGTGGTTTGTCCCTGTCATTGTGTGAGTTTGTGTTTGCTTCTGTATCCAAATACTGATGGCATAAGCCCATTGATATGATTTTGAGGTATGAGAACCATACAGGACTCACTTCATTTTCACCAAATAGATCCACTGGCACTTACTGGCCTAAGCAGGTGTTCCTATCGTTCCCCCACTATACCAGCTATCATCACTGTGTAATCCTGGGGGACCAGGTCACACTGCAAACCCAATAAATTGCTGTTCAAATTGGAATCTTTTGAAACTGGAAATGGAAAAATTCATCTCCATCCTCCAGTAATTGTATCTTTCCTTACAACTCAGGGTAGAGAATAGTATAAACCTTAATTCTGATGGTCCTTAATTTTATGGGTTTCATTAAAACCCCTGAGAGTCATTTAATTTTATGGAGTTCAATGATAATATCCAAATGCATTCCCTCTAAAGTAGAATTTTACCTTGTATTACAGAGATTGAGTTCCATTTTTAACACATATGTTCTTAGTACTTATGCTAATTTTACTACTTATCTTTCAAATGGGCATATCATTGTTATTGTTATTATTATTATTGTTGTTATTATTATTGTGTATTGACCAAGTTGAATGCCTCATTCTCAAGGGATGCTGTCAGAGTTATATAATATGAGAACAATGGGTGAATGTTGTTCATTTTAAATGTGAAATTATAAATCAATTACAGTGGTGGCTAAAACCCCTTCATGACATGCCACAATTTACTTCCAATGACATTTAAACCTATCTCACATGCTGAACAATCTGTAATAAATTATGATTTTTTTTTTTGCTTCTGAAATGAAGCTATAATTATGACAGTTGAATTCTTGTTCTGGGAAATAAGGTGGCATTTAATTCCTTGAGAACAAATGACACTCACAAAAGAACAGTTAATTATTCTCAGCTGCAAAGGAAGGGAGGAGGGGAGAGAAAAATTATGAAAAAAGAACATGGTAGCACTTTATGTGAAGTATCTATTAACTAATCCTTAACTAAGGCTGAACTATAATTGAACTTCTGGGGCTGTCCCTGAGCCCAGGTATAACACTTTTTATTATTTCAATTCTCAATAAATCCCAAAAAGGAGGAATTAGCAATTTGAAACTTTCTTTATTCCTTATGCATGGTAATACAAATGTTCTCACAATCAGTGTTGGCCCAAGAATGCAGATCTACACTCTAACCCAGTTAAAACAGACCCAGGGGGTAGTATGGTATTAGTTTTCAATTACAGCTGTCCTAATTCAGGTCTTTAACTGCTATAGTCATTCAATCTATATTGTAAATAAAGGGAAAGGAAAGCAATGTAGCCTCAGAATTTACTTATTTATTTTGCTTGTTGTTTGTTTCTAGTTTAAGGAGCAGCTCTGCTTCCATGGCTTTTCTCTGATGGCCCTTTCCTGTTCATTCTGGCAAGAAGCCCCAGTGCAATTGAATATGCCAGCAAACACGAGGCCACTCTTCTTAGCGAGTCCTGACACCATCAGCTGCAATGTTAGCAGCCTGCTATTAGAGACGCCTCTTTCTTTGACTTCCCTTTCTTCCTTGGGAGGAATAGATACTCTAGAGAAGGGCCCTGCTGAGTGGAATTCCCCATTTTGACTGCAATTAGGGATTGTGACTTGATTGATTTGGGGGCTCTCTGAAATGTAGCAGGATCAACACAGTTGCACACAAAACAAGGCATAATCCACTGGGTTAAATTAACGTTAAATCAGAGATGATTGGATTAATTGCTATTACATTTTATCTTCTGTGCACATGTGCTGTTGGCAGGCTTTCAGAGCCTTTTTAAAATTAGCTTAGAACGGGATGGAAATGGTACAGGTGCAAATGATTTGTGCACTGGGTCTTTCAAGTACACAGTGGGCTCATAAGAAGGTGCATTTCTTCTTTTTTTTTTTTTAAATCATATTTTGGATGTGATTTACAAAAAACTGCACCGAGAATCAACTTGGCATCACTATGTAGAAGCTATAGATGTGTTAAATGGCAAAAGGACTCTTGGCTATAAGCTAACTTGAAAATGGATCTCCTTCAAATCGTGGCTTTGGCAGGGCACCTATGTTCAGTTTGTTTCCTTTACAGGCTTTTCTGCCCTTGTGGGAGCCCGAGAGTCCTTGGGAAGATGCACCAGAGCCCTCAGTATGGCGTCTGTTACCCCAGAATGTATTCTTCAAAAGGTATGAATAACCCTTCAACAATTTTGAAAGGTAAAATATTGAAATGATGGTCGTCAACAGGATAGATTTACTTCACAGAAATAGTGTGGAAAGTGTGGACTATGTGATTGAAATCTTGATGGTCAGACCAGCTCGGAGACACAGAGACTCAAAGGCGGGCCTCTTGGTGCGTTCTCACTTGCCCATCATCAGTGGCTCAGACTTACTCTCAGGCTGACAGTATGAAGAGCTGCTGAGCCACTGGGAGGAAAGTTTACATCTTAATGCTTTAGGAAATGTGTGAATCGACAGCTCCTTTTGAAGACCATTGTGTGCACAGCACTATAAATAAGTATCATGGAGGAGATAGATTTTATTCTGGGGGTGATCATATTTTGGATCAATACAACAAACTAAAAGGTTGGTGTCTTGTCCTTGGCCTGTTAAACTCTGCCAGCCATGTCAGGCTCTTGAGAGCTGTCATCGGCATTTCCCTCTCTAGAGCCATGATCTCTTTTCTTCAGGTGCTTTGCATCTGATGAATTTGCTTCTGACTAGTTTCCCTGCCCTGAGCATCTTAGCTGGTCGCTGGCCTTATCATCCCTGCCTCTGGCCCTGTCCAGACTGGTGACCTGCACTTGCTCTGGCTGTTCCACCTGTCTCTGCTTGCTTCCGGACTTGCCCCTGGACACATGTGTCCCAGCCTCCACCCAGGCCATGTCAGCTCCCAAAAGAAAGGGCATTTGGCACACATAGACTTATAAATGCAAACACAAATGTGAAATGGAGTCACACAATTATCTCGACTTATTTCTATAAAAATAGATATACCTATACCACCTTTTCATTAATTATTTTTAAAAGCTTATGTTCACATGATGCCAACAGGTAAAGTTTCCTTTCCACCCATAAGCTGTTGTTCCAGTTCTCCAGTTCAGAGATAACCATTACTGCTTTTTCTTTTTTTTTTTTTTTTTAAGATTTATTTATTTGTTCATAAGAACTGGGGTATAGGCCAGAGGCACAGGGGCAGTGAGAGGCTTCACCAGGGTCAGAGTGGGGAGCAGAACAGGCAGGTCAACAAAGTAACACTGCTGAGGGGAGCAGCAGGCGGGTCAGGAGGGGTCTGCCTCGCCATATGGATCACCTCTGGGGCAGGCAGGGATCGAACTCATGCTGAAGTGGCTTTAGCTTCTTAGTATAGTGCTTTAACCTGCTGCGCCACCAGGGAGGGCCGGGTTTTACTTTTTACCTGTTTTTCAGGAAACAATATATGCATATATAAAACACTCATATGTATATTCACCTCACTTTAAAACCCCAATAAAATGATAGCATACACTGCATACAATGTTGTACATTGTTTGCTGACTAATATTGGAGATTTTCCCATGTAGGTACATATAGAGGTGCCACATTCTTTTATATAATTTTAAAAAAGATTTGTTACTTATATATACAAGAACTGGGATATAGGCCAGAGGTGGTAGGGGGTGGGGTGTGACAGGTTTCACCAGAGGCCGAGTGGGGAGCCCAAAAGGCAGATGTTCTGCTGAGGGGAGCAGAGAGTGGGACAGGGGAGGTCTGCTGCGCCATGTGGGTCACCTTCTTGCTGGGGATCGAACTGGTGCTGCAATGGCTGTGGATAGCTCATAGTGCTGTACTTAACCTCTTGCATGCCACCAGGAGGCCCGAGATGCCACATTCTTTTAAAAATCTTATAATTTATGAATCTGTGGTTTACTGAGAAGCATTTGAGTTGTTTACAGTCTTTTGTTTTGTGAATCATCACAAGTGAAATGCTTGTGTAACCACTGTGTGAGTCAAGGAAGCAAGTAATGCTTGAGCCTAATTTCAGTGTATTCATACATTAGTCATGTGTAGCAACAATGTGCCACGGGGGTCCTGCAAAGCCACCCTACTTTGCCTCTGTGTGGGGTAGGCTACACCATCTAGGTCTGTGTGATGACACTGCAACTTTTGAATGAACGCTAAACCACCATACTATGCGTTTCAGAATGTATTCTTGTTAAACAGTGTGTGTCTGTATAACCAAACATTAAAATTTCTAGAAATAAACTTTTAAGGATATGACAAAATTCCATCCTTTTTTTATCTGAAGTAGCATACTCTAATAGCTGTGTAGCTGAGTGAGTCACCTGAAATGGGGTGTGTGTCTCGGTCCTGCTTGAGTCAATGTAAGGATGTGCCATCACTTTAGAAATCTCCTTCCTGGCCCTTTCACTTTCACCTGTTTCCTTTCACCTGTAGTTTTTCTTGCTTCTGAATTTTATATAATTGATTTGCATGGTACTATGTATGGAGTGTTTTTTGCATGCCCTCCAAATTCACATTGAAATCTAATCCCCAGTTTGAGGGTATCAGGAGGTGGGGCTACCGGAACCTATAAGGTCATGAGGGTGGAGCCTACAAATGACAGGGATTAGGACCCTTATAAAAGAGACCTCCGAGAACTCCCTCCCCTTTCTGCCCTTCATGGACACATGGAGTCAGTCATCTCTGAGTAAGGAGGACTGTCCCCAGACTCTGACTATCATGCCTTGATCTTGGCATTCCAGCCTCCAGACTATGAGCAATAAGTGCTTGTTGTTTGATCCCACCCAATCCCATATACTACCCATATATAGTATTTCTGTTAGAACAGTCTGAATCAAGACACAAGGTGTGCACTTTTTGTGTGGCTTCTTTGTTACTTTTATTTGTGAAAGTTGTCCGGGTCATTCCATGTAACTGTAGATAGGCCATTTTTATTTCTGCATATGATTCCTTGGAATGAATGTACCACAGATTATCCTTTCTTCTGTTACTATTGGTTTCTTTACACATTTGGTACTTGAAATAACGCTGCAACCTCATATTGTTGGCTCTCTATCCTAAAAATGCGGTTGTCAGATCATGGATTCTGTTTATGTTCAACTTTAGTCTAAAATGCCAAATTGTTTTCCTATATTTATATCAGCATGTGTAAGAATGCCTGTTGATCTCCCACCTTGCAAATATCAATAGTTGACAATGTCATAATCTTTCCTTTTTTAGGCATTTTGGCAACTACATAATGTTATTTCATGGGGGTTTTAATTCACATTTCTCTGATTTTTAAGTTGAGCATGTTACCTTATTTAGATGTTCTTTTTGTGAAGTACTGGTTAAAGTTTCTTGTAAATTTTTCTTTTGGGCTGGAAAAATTCTAAGAGTGTTATGCATTTTCAATATAAGGCTTTTCTTTATTAAATACACAGCAAATATTTTCTCCCAATTTACTTTGTTTTTGTACTTTCTAATGTTGTATTAATGAAAAAAATTCCTAGTTTTAATGTAGTTTAATTCAAAGACCTTCCTTTTATGGTGATTTTTCTATTCTTGTGACATGGTTCTTAAAAAGATGGCCCTTACTATGGTGATGGCATACGGATTTTTTGGTGATGGGAAGCCCATGGGGATAACAACAGAGGTGGAAAAAGGCATAAAATGGTGTAAAAATAAACTTGTAAATTAAAAATAAAAATAATACACAAAAAACCCCCCAAAAACCATGGTCCTATTTCAAAGCAAAGGAAATGTTATTATATATTTAAGTATCATTTTTGCCTTTAAAACTTAAAATTGATTTTTGTGCATGATATGAGGCAGGAGTCAAGTTTTTTCTCTCTTGTAAGGGAGAGAGGAAGGAGAAAAAATGGGGGTAGGGGAAGCATAATGTACCATGGTGGCAGACTATGGGTGCTTTCTTTGGTGGAAGGAGAATTATGGTGACCACATCTAAGTGGAGAAATCCTGTATTGTGAAAAAAAAAAAATTAGCAAGGATGTAAAAATAAATAAGAAAAAACTATCTTTTTATTTCTGAATTGCCTTGTTCTGTTTTCATAAGTCAGTGTCTATATATTTGTGGACCTACTTTTGGACTTTCAATTTTATTTTATCATATTTCACTGATCTATTTGTCATGTCTTTATCAACATCGCATTTCCTAATTATGGTGCTTTATAATAACCCTTGCTACCCATTTGGAGCAAATTCTCTTGTTCTTCAAGAGATCTTGTATATTCTTAGTTATTTACATTTTCATATAATTTTAGGAATGGCTTGCCTGCTTCCTCAGAAATAAATTTTGGATTTTAAAATATGATTTATTTGAATCTCTAAAAACTTGAGGGAGAACAATATTTTTGTAATACTGAGTCTTGCTACCTGTTTCTATTACTGGAATCCTATACTCACTAGTGACATTGGTTAATCATTCTTTCTTTTATGGTTTTGGTGTCAAGATTATGCTAGACTCCTAAAATGAATGTTTATATTGTCTGAAGAGTTTATATAGTCATAGCAATTTTTTCATCTATAAAACTGCATCTAGAATTTTCCTGGTTAGGGAAGATGTTATAATTTAACAATTATAAGAGAA